CTCTACAAGTCTCTCCTTCCACCCTGTCATTTTATACCTCCTCCCCTCTCTCTCTCTCTCTCTCTCTCTCTCTCTCTCTCTCTCTCTCTCTCTCTCTCTCTCTCTCTCTCTCTCTCTCTCTCTCTCTCTCTCTCTCTCTCTCTCTCTCTCTCTCTCTCTCTCTCTCTCTCTCTCTCTCTCTCTCTCTCTCTCATAAGCATGCAGGAGGGGCAAATAAATGATGGGAAAGGAAATCTATAAAGAAGCAATTACAGAGCAGACCTTAATTGCATAACGTTACACTGACAAAATCCTTTGTATTATCAAAAAAGAGGATGCTGATCAGTTATGGATGGCCACTTTGTATATTATATTAGGAATCAGAGAGGAATAATTTATTGAATGGAAATTGTTATACTTAAAACAACGTTTTACAGCAGAAGACTGTAAATAAAGCATGTTTCTAATATTCAATGCACAGTGGAGGTCGTGTGTAATTCTTTTGACACACTCCCTAACACATATCTGCCATGATCACCATCTTCCCGTTTTTTCTTTGTTGTTGCTTTTTATAGCATTGCCATGGAAGTGGATTGTGGTTGCTAAGTAACTGGCTGGCGTCTGCTTCTGCTTTCTCAGACAAGAGCAAAGCTATGTGAGTGTTTGAGTGTGTGTGAGCAGTGGTGAGTCTAAGGCTGTTATAGTTTATTGTATGAAAACAACTTTGGTCAGCTTTTTTTATCGAACTTTATAGTCAGCTTTTTTTTTCAAGTCAGGCCCAGTTTAAGCATTTAAAGAGTTAGTTCACCCTAAAAATGAAAATTCGTGCATTAATTACTCACCCTCATGTCGTTGTAAATATTAAAGGTAGGGTAAGCAATTTTCAGATAGGCTAGTATGAGTATGAGCTAGCATGAAATCCCACCTTCCCTTCAGAGCGTCTCCAAAGCCATGCCTTCTTCAAAGCACATGACAGCAGAGTTTGCAAAGCATCACGAGACGGGAGACGTTAAACGACCTTATGTCTCAAAGCACATAACATTACAATAATAATAACATAAACAACTTAAAGAGCTCTGACCTGTACCACCTGACTGCAGATTCATTTCGCTCTTGATAGTGGGGACAACTGGTCTGGCGCTCTTTTTATCATTGCCTTTTTTTGTATCACATATTTTAGTAGGCTAATCATCATAAATTAGGTATCATTCAAAAGCTTACGAACTAAAAATTCATCCTGTGAAAACCATTTTGAAATTGATACTCCTCTAGTGGGCGGTGTCAGGTTTCATATTACAAAATGTCTTATAAATACTTTATGATCAAAACCTTTTCCAATCTTGACAAAACACCTATCGTTGGAAAGATCTCAAGTTTACAAGTCTCAAGGTTCCATATTTGGCGACTATTTTGTGATAGAAGTTATATTTGGACAGAAGTGTATTAATTCGTTACAGGAGAATGCATCTAATAAAAATCAATTGAATGTGGGTGACACCCGGCGGCTATTTTTGGTACAAAATGTGATATCAACTTCGAATTTGGAACATAACTTGGTTAGATATAATTATGGCTTTGATTTTATAGTAAAAATTATTTTGTAAAATATATATTGTAGTAGCCTATAGCCTACCGTATAAAATAAAAAGTTTAATAGCTACAGTCCATTTGATTTACAGTAAATTTAAACTTCCACCATATTCCATAGCCTACTTTCAATTTTTTAAGGGCTTTCACTTCAGCAAAACAAGACCAAACTTAGGTCTAGCCTATATTCCAAAGCATGGATAGTGCATTTTCACGTCTATTCTCTAAAACGGAAACGGTCAGCTCGGTTTTGTTATCGAGCAGTTTGGGGGTGTGGATTAAAATTAATTAAATATATATATTCAAAATAATTTTATCCCAATGTATCGGTTTCTCTCTGTGGAGAGAAATACCTCAGTGTGATCTTCCCATTGTCCTCAGAGAACACAACAGTCGCTGATGTAAACAACAGACCAGTGTCTGTGAACGCGCGCACGTGCACGATGGAGCTTCTTATGTCATGCTTTTGTCCACGGCTATATGCTGTTAAAGGTACATTATTTAAACTGTTTCTTTTGGTTTGCTTTGAAAATGTTTGTCATTAACATTATTATATATTTTTTTTTAAAGCAAACGGAACTGATAATAACGAGGCTGTTGTATTTGTGCTTACTTGAAACAAGCACAAAACAACATTCATTCTAGGAATCCATTGCGTCATAACTTGCAGTGCGGGACTTAGTCGACATCTAGTGGCCATTTAAAAAAATCTCGACCTGGCTTTATTTTTTATTATGGGAATAAAATGATGCATTGGGCTTGAATTCCTTTTCATTTTGAGACATGTAAGATGTGACAAAATCCTCACCATAACAGATCTGCTATAAGATTTTTAGTACTACATGTGAAAAGTTAAATTTAGCTTTGGACTGTTTTTTTTTTTCATTAAATTAAAATCTTATGCTTAAATACATTCAATTAATTTGGAAAACAAAAAAAATTGTTTTTATGAATAAAACTAATTGGAAAAAAGTATATATATATATTCTAAAAACAAAAACCCACATAATCCAATCTTTTCATGTGTTTACTTTACTATTATTCCAAATGTGGAAAATTGTAATAATAAAGAAATATGCCCTGACAAATCAGCATTACATTAACTGAAAATTATTTTAAAAATGATAATAATAAATCTTGCATCTTTTAACAGGATCTTTAAGGGTGTGTTTTGTAATGTTGTGAAACCACATGATATGAGATATGACAGAAAATGACAGATATGACAGAAAATGGGTTTCAAAACCAACATTTCACTGCTTGTAACAATTATTTTAATAAATACTCTTAGTGTTCCTCACACAGGAAATAAGGTGGTGGGTTTGTTCAACCCTCCTGCACAGAGAATTACTCCATACAAATGATAACAATATGAACACAAAAACACATGCACACACACCCGCCCGCTCACACACACACACACACACACATACACATACAGACATACTCATTGGTGGACAGTAAAATACTGTCTACTACCAGGTTTAACGGTTCAGAACAACGAATTTGAAAACCCTCCAAGTGTGCGTTTCTCAGCACCGTTCAGTCCATCCAAAGAACATCCACGTGTGTGATGTCATCAGTGATGTCATCAGTGATCTCATGTGCCCTGACATGACACACGTGTCCTTCAGATTGCTCTCTGTGTACATACATACTGTTCCTTGCTCTTCGAGTTGAATTGTTCAGTTGCTGGAGGAAGAACGTCACTTCAGGAGGTAAGGAACACAGTCATAAAAACAGGTACATGTTTGCTATTTATTGCCAATTACAAAAACCCTCATGTTCCCATTTCTGTCCTTCTCACCTCAGGAGCTGGCATTTAGTCGAGGAGAACAGAGGCTTTTCAGATGATTTTATGTTGAGAAGGGGAAGGAAACTCTCTAGAAGAGGTTTACTCATCCTGACACACACAGTAAGAGGCACTTTCCAGGAATACGGTAAAAACAGCTTAAATTGTTGGAGGGCAAACTAATAATCAGTCGTTTTATTCATTTTTCTGTAAGATTTGCAACTCTGTTACCAAATTTTGGGGAATATACACTACTGTTCAAAAGTTTGGGGGTCAGTAAGATTTTATTTGTTGTTAAAGAAATTGAGATTTTTATACAACATGGATGCATTCAAATGTGGAAGCTTGTTTCCGCCACTGAATAAAAAAGGGAATTGTGACGTTTTATCTCGCAATTCTCTCTCAGAATTGTGTGGTATAAACTCGCAATTGGAAAATTTGCGACGAAATAAGTCAGAATTGCGAGTTTATATCCCTTTTTAAATTAATTCTGACTTTATTTCTCGTAATTGCAAGTATATATCAACTATATAAGTATATAAAGGATTATGTGACACTGAAGACTGAAAATTCTGTTTTGATCACAGGAATAAATGACCTTTTTCAAATATAAAAGTTTTTTTTTTTAAACTGTAAAAGTAGTTCATACTTCATAGTTTTTTGGATCAAATAAATGCAGCCTTGGTGAGCAGAAGAGACTTTAAAAAAAAAATTCAAAATCATACCTTTTGAACACTAGTGTAGAATTGTTTGGGATCAATAAATACAGTTTAAAACCCTGGTTCATTTGATTTAGTTATTTTCTTGCAATAAACAAACAATAAATAGATACATTTATCACATACAAAAAAAAAACTGGTTGCTTGAAACGGTAGCAAATTTATGATAAATAAAGCTGTCAGTAGGAGCTATGTTAGTCGTAGTTATCAAATAACCCATAAATTAGAGACTTTTTAGATAATTTTTTCTGGTAACTGTTTAAAATCGAGCTGGTCACATGCAGTCAACAATGTAAACATTGAAAACATTTATATTATATTCTTTGACTTCATTTTATGAAACGTTAAATATTTTGTATTTTGGGAGGAAAATCATGCAGTGTAAATAAGACTTTTTTTTTGCTCATTAAAATGTATTAATAAACTAATTCAATACCAATTTAACAGAATTTGTATCATCATATTGGTTGGATATCTCAAAAAGTTCAAGGCTTCTGAGGCCATTTTAATGAAGTGTAATACAAACATTTGATGTTTTTTAAAACGACCTGCTTTTCATGATTGGTTCAACAAAACATGGGTTTTATGCCTGTAATGCTTAAAAAACGGAAAAAAATTCTACCCTATTCATGAAAAGTGCCAAGTACACATGGAGAGAAAGTGTCTGCTCATGTTCAATTTCACATTTGGACTGCTCGCTCGTGTGATTAGGTCGAGTCAGAGTTTGTTTTTTCAACAACAACAAAAAAAAAAAAGAGAAAAAATATAAAACTCTTATAGTACACCTATTTTTATATCAGTATATTACAATGAATACATCTCGCAAAAGAGCTCCCTGTGTCATTGCAGTTAATTGCATACACGATTCTCCTGATTATAATTACAGAAAGCATCACTGAACTTTACACTAAACACACTGGAGGGAACTTGTCATTTTCAGGCCGAAAAGCAGGTTGTGTCCACAGAGACCATGATGAGGAAGAGGCCAGAGATATGAACGAGACGAGGAAGGTCACAGGCCTACAGTAGTCCGACTGCCCTCTCCTGCTCCACATGTGATAAAGCTTCTCACTAGAGGCCGTCACTTAACCAACCTCGGCTGTTATGAGGCCGTTAAACTCGGACACAACGAGTCACTGAAAACCTATCAACCGCTCAACCTATCCAGAAGGCATATGTCTACCACAGCTTTTCCATTAGAGCTGCCAGAGACTGTGGTCTTGTGGGATCACAGGGCAAACTGTGGGGAAACCTCTTACGAGTGCTGGTTTAGGGGGCGTCGGCACAGGTGGTGGGGCTTCTATGAGAAATTTTGAGCGCATAGAGTGGCTTGCGGGCGTTTTCCGCACAGGGGGACGGTGCTGTCCTGGCTCTGGCCCTCCATGTCCATGTCCAGAAGGCTTTGACGGGCGGCACTCACTCCACTGTCACCCGAGCCCAGCGGACTGTCACAGCTGCTACCTGGAGATGAGCTGAGCGTCTGTGACCGGGACGAGAGTTTCCACGGCTCCGGACGTGCCCGAGCTGGGGTGGGTCGAGGGCGGGGAGCGAACTCCAGGGTTTTGGGACGCTCCAGCGTTCCCGTATGGCTTTCCGGCTCTGGCACGGGGATCGGAGGAGGGGGTTTGCGCCGATGGACCGAGGGGTAGACCGTAGACGGGTCGGGCAGGCGTGGAATGTCAAGAGTTTCACGGGAACCTGAAGGAGAACATATGAGCGACTCAGTAAATGACATTCAAGATATTTAAAAAAATATCTTATTTCATTTTTATCCCAGAATTTTATTTAATGATGCTTATTTTTTGGACTATTAACATTTCTGCATTGTTGATAACTATTTCCCCCTCAAGTTTACATTACCATAAAGCAAAAAAAATGAAATAAATAAATAAATCTCAGTGTCATTACTGTGATACAAACAATAGACATGATTTAAATAATTATATATATATATATATATATTACATATACTGTAATACAGCAATAAATGGAAAGGAAAAATGTATTACAGTAATTAGAGTCACTGTCGAGAATAATGGGACTTACAAAAAAAAGTTAAAACAAATTTGGGTGGTGTCTGAATATTGTCTTTATGCTAATTATTATATAACCATCACAAAAAAAAAATCTCATTCTCATTACTGTAATATATAACATATAAACACACACTGTATTTAATATTATATGCAATATACAGCAATAATACATGTATTACATTCAGAAGAATCACTATTGATAACAAAAACATTAAAACAAGTTATTTTAGTTCTTAGTTTTCCAAATTATTTTAAAAGATCTTCTTTATGCAAACAAATACAGTTTAAATATATAAATATTAATATATATATATATATATATATATATATATTGTTGAGTTCAATCTTAGGTTTATGAAATCTATTTTATGATCATTGCAAAATTTTATATAATCACTGTTAATATGAAACAAATAACACATTATTTTGAATATTTTAAGCATATATTATGTATGCGAATCGTACTGATATTAATGAAAAACACTTAAGATTAATGGGAATTAAAAAAAAGTTCAAACAAATCTTAGTGGTTTTAAAATATTGTCTTGATATTGTAGTGACATTTACTAAAGAACCACTGCAACAAAAAAAATGAATTTCTGTAAATATTTGAAATGTTATGAAGTACTTACACATCATTGAAGTATTATTTAGTTATATAGTTATACATTATAAAACGTTGAGTTCAATCTTAGGTTTATGAAATCTATTTTATTACCATTGCAAAATTGTGTATAAAATACTGTTAATATGAAACAAACACATTATTGTAAATATTTTAGGCATATGTATGCGAATCGTATTGATATTAATGAAAAACACTTAAGATTAATGGAAATTACAAAAAAAGTTCAAACAAATCTTAGTGGTTTTAAAATATTGGCTAAACATTTACTTAAGAACCACTGCAACAACAAAAAAATCTCATTACTGTAAATATTTTAAATGTTTTAAAGTACTTACACATCATGGAAGTATTATTTAGTTATATAGTTATACATTATAAAACGTAATTTGGCGATGTGATTCAAAAGATTCACACAATAATGAATAGCATTTAAAATCTTATGTAAAATGTCTCCATTGAAGTGACTGTACCTTTAAATGAGGCGATGGTCGGGGCTGTCGTGGGGGGGAAGGGCATGCTCCCGTCAGAAGGGGTGCGTCGATGTCCCACGACCGTCTGTGCTCGAGGGCGAATGGCCCCGTCCGAGGGTGTGCGCCGGTGCCCGCGGTGTAACGCCATCGCTACAGAGACGTGTGTGGGTGTGAGGGACTGGTTGGGCTCTCGTTTGAAGCTCTCTGCCTTCAGGTCCAGCAGAGGGTTTAAAGAGGGCGCAGGAGACACCCCCGGATGAGCACTACTGGGGGTCGGGGTGAAGTCTTCAGGATCAGACGGTAACAGGGACTTGGTGGAGTTGCAGTCGGAGAGGGAGGACAGGGAGAGGAGGGTCACGGAGGGAGACGGGTCCGTGCTGGGCAGGGTGGAGTCGGGATGCCGGTTGTGGGACAGGGAGAGGGACAGGGTGCGGCTGGGAGGAGAAGTGCTGCGTCTGAATCGACCCGTGCGCTGGAACAGGCCCTCCTTCTTCTTCTTCTGCTCCTCTCGCGGGTCCTGCTCATCTTGACTCATCTGTACACCAATCGATGAATAATGTCACATGAGCTCAACATAAGGTAAAAATAAATTGATTATGCCAAGGGATTAATTAATTGCATATACATCAATATACTGTATGTCAATCAGTATCTATGCAATATAAAAAATTGCATTGTCATAACAGTAAAGAAAAAAAACAATATTAAATAATATTTGTAATATATATATTTGTATTGTAACATTATAGAAGTATTTGTTGCACTTTATGCAAAAAAAAAACTTAATTTTGCAATGAAATGTGTGTGTGTATTAGTACTGTCAAAATAATGGCATATAACATAAAAGTTAGTTTATATAATATATGTGTGTGTGTATATATATATATATATATATGTGTGTGTATATATATATTTATGCATATACCTGTACACACACACATGTATTTTATATATATATATATATATATATATATATATATATATATAAATGCATACATATATAAATAAAGTTTATAGTTTATATAATATACACAAATATATAAATATATAATTATTTTTTGGAAATTAAAATTAATAATAACATCTATTTACATATTAAATTACAATCAATAATATTCATACATAGTACAATTAAATGTATAATAATGATTAATTAATATTATATTATTTAGTATTAATCAATATTTGCAATCTTGTTTATGACATATAAATAAAAAAATTAACAAAAAAAAAAAAAAAACAGCTATGTCCAGCGATAATCAGTCCTCGTAATTAACCTAATTAACTTTCTTTCTTTCCCGCATTCTCACTCTGTAACAGTGTGTACCTGTTGTCGTCCCAGCTGGCAGACGTCGGCACCGAGTCCCACAGCAGCCAGTATGGAGGCACAGCCCAGCAGCAGAAGCTCACTCTTCTTCCTCTGACTGGAGCGTCGCAGCGTTGAGTCCTGTGAGCCTATTCCCGATCCTGAGCCCACCTCCTCCATCGCTCCGTTACTGCCCAGCTCAGGAGCCAGACGTCCTGGAGAACTGTCATCCAACTCACTGTGCTCCTCTACACACAAGATACGGGTGATGAAGGCGAAACAGGCCATAAAACTACTACCGTAATCACTTCATGTCAGTTATTCATTTGTTTGTTGTAGTGTTGGGTCACAATGGTCGTCAAATCTGAGTGTCTATAAGAAGAGCGTGATTCCGACTCACCCATTTCATTTAGACTTGAGAATCCACCTGTTATAGGAGCATGTTTTGGGGACTTCCCCAGATTTGGGGCACTGGAGGACCACACCTTGCCCTCCCCAAGTGATTTTAACCTAAAAAAAAAAAAAATACTATTAAGCAACTTATGCTGTAAAATGGTATTCATGGAGTTTATGGTAACTCCTATCATGACAATTCTTGGAAGAGTTTTAGCATGGTAATGACTTTGACAATGTTAAGTGTTTCCCCGTCATTGACAGAGTTTTCCTGCTTTCTGTGTTTTCCTTGTTATACGGCAGGGGGCCCTATTACACATCTTCTGAAAGAGTACAAAATCTCCTGCTCAAAACACAGGAGAAAAAGGAGCAGAAACAAACGATAGCATATATGTAAGCAGATGCATATGTAAAATAAGGTGATCATCAACATTAAAGGGCATTTAAATCAAAACTGCCTGATGTTACTGAATGAAATGTCAGGAGTCGATCTACTCCATCTATGTTTTAGTCATTATTCTGAATCAGATCTGGACGTAGTCTTTGACACAAACGTGTTTTTCTCAGCCTTTTGCTCAAAATGTTGCTTTTTTATGAAATTTACCCACATTCAAGTGTTGATAAAAAAAGAATGCGTGAAGCTAGAATAAAACATTTTTTTTTTTAAAGCAGAGGGTTTGTTCTTTCTTTTGATATTTTGTATGTTCAGATATTCATACAACAAAATATTCAAGGCGCCATGAAACCTTGGTGACGATGATTTTCAAAAACGCTGACGGGAAAATATTTCATATTCTTTAGGTGTACCTGTCCTCCCCCCCGACTCTCTCACGCTGATGTGTGGAGCTCGGTCCCCATGTTCGGCCCTTCTTCTTGGTCCCGAGGTCCTCTTTCTTACACACTGCCGTCCGGCCCCACGTCTTCCTCCCATCACTGGGTGTCACTAGACCACGCATACAAGTGATGGCAGCAAATTGAACACATTTCAGAAAATATTCAATATTATGTTTGTTTTAGCAAACTACTACGGAGCCCCCCTAGTCCCACTTTGTCAAAAAAATTTTTCATAACTATCTCGTGGCCTCAAGATAGTAACTCGTGGCCTCAAGATACTATCTCGTGGCCTCAAGATAGAGATACTATCCACGAGGCCACGAGTTACCACAAAGACAATGACTACAACGGTTATTATAAAGTTCTAAACATCGCTCTAATTCCATGAGGATAGGAAAGATAAGTAACTCGTGGCCTCAAGATAGTAACTCGTGGCCTCAAGATAAGTAACTCGTGGCCTCAAGATAAGTAACTCGTGGCCTCAAGATAGTATCTCGTGGCCTCAAGATGAAGGGCCCTATTTTAACGATCTGAAACGCAAGTGTCAAAGCGTAAAGCGCAAGTAACTTTGTGGGCGGATCCCGGCGCTGTTGCTATTTTCCCGGCGGGATAAATGCCTCTTGCGCCAGGCGCAAATCTAAAAGGGGTTGGTCTGAAGTAGCTTCATTATTCATAGGTGTGGTTTGGGCGTAACTTGAAATAAACCAATCAGAGCGTCGTCTCACATTCCCTTTAAGAGCAGGCGCACTTGTTTTAAAGCGGATTCCTATTATAACGGCGGATTTGACAGGCGCGCGACAGGAGCGGTTCACAGCCGAGGAGAGCAACGTTCTCGTCAGGGCCGTAAAACACAGAGAAGTGACATTGGGGATGGAGAAACCCACCCAAATTAACTTCTGTTAAACAGGCGTATGATAATTTGGGTATATGTGTAAGCTACATGTATGCTTTTATCATCCGTCCGTCCGTCCGTCCGTCCATCCATCCATCCATCCATCCATCCAAATAATGTATGATTTGCAAAAATGAAAACTGCTGCTTAGATGAGAGAATCAACGTGTATGCGCGTTGTGCACCCGCTACATTGATTATGGCCAAGCATGCGCCCTTAAAATAGCATAATGAACAACGCGCAACGCGCCACTGACTTTAGACTAGGTTTTTTCTGGTCAGTGGCGCAATTGTTTTATAGAACTGCAAAATAGCATGAGGGAAAGTTTGCGCCGGAACACGCCTCCTCTTTGCGCTGAACCGCCCCGGGGAACGCAAGTGTATTTCTTAGTTAACCGACGTGTTTCTGTGGAGGGAAAAGACCGCTTTGCGCGGGTGCAAAATAGGAATGATACATGCGTCAGTGTACAAAGTCATTTGCGCCGAGTGCAAGATAGGGCCCACTATCTCGTGGCCTCAAGATAGAGATACTATCCACGAGGCCACGAGTTACCACGAGGACAATGACTATAACGGTTATTATAAAGTTCTAAACATCGCTCTAATTCCATGAGGATAGGAAAGATAAGTAACTCGTGGCCTCAAGATACTATCTCGTGGCCTCAAGATAGTAACTCGTGGCCTCAAGATAGAGGCCACGAGTTACTATCTTGAGGCCACGAGTTACTATCTTGAGGCCACGAGATAGTTATAATAAATTTTTTTTTTACAAAGTGGGACTAGGGGGGCTCCGTAAACTACATATTATTGCTACAAAAGTCTACATGAAGTATGGAAGCTAAGACAGTCTCAATGCACTTCACAGATACGATAAGCTCTTAAGTGTCTAGGTATTGATTGTTCAGGCATCCGTCAATATGTACTAAGCTGACCAGCAATGCACTCTGGTTCTTGTTTATTCCACTATATAAAAGCAAACGACTGCTGTGTATTGCTCTGTTCGTGACTCACGGCGTATCGCTCTGAGGCGAGGGATGACCCCTGGGCTGGCTGGAGGAGTCGTGCTTTCGCTCCCCTGACCTTTCCTCTTGTCCACGCTGAGTGACGCCTGCACCGTGATCTTATGCTCGAAACCTAAAACAGACACAGGCTTAACTGACGTTCACACCAAGGACAATGACTATAACGGTTATTATAAAGTTCTAATAATCGCTCTAATTCCATGAGGATAGGAAAGTGAACACCACAGCTACAATGATAATGACAATATCGATGGAAACACTTTCAGAGTGATTTTTTTCCAGCTGATGAATGAGAAAAACATTGACAGCCAATGAACAGAATCATCCACATGGCTTTTAAGAGCTTAAGCATTTCAAGCGGCAGGCAACATAACTGCTTGTGCTTATAATAGGCAAAAAGATGAAAAAAGACAATAAAAATGCAAATGCAAGATAAAATGCGATTTTTCGCTCATTTGCTGTCTTTTTTTACCTTTATAAAGTGTGCAGGAGTTTTTTGCAACTTTTCACCTATTTGGATTATTGGGGCTTGTGCACTTTTTTTTTTAAAACTGTGGTGAGTTTTTGGTGTTTTCATATAATAATCTGAACACTGTCATCAGTTGGTGTGGATGCTGCTATAGTTAGAGTTATGTTTCACAGAACCAAGATATGCTGTTGTTGTAAAGTTATCTACAGTTTTGAGTGTCAATTATGTTTGTCTGGAGTTGCTGGCGACTAACAACAAACTCTTGCTTGAATACACTCTTGTGTATTGTATGTTCATTTTTTCTTCTTACTTTTTCCTTTGCTTCAGCTACGATAAAGAAAAAGACGTCCACTCTTGCATTGCGTGTTCGTGCATTTTGGGGGTGGAGCAATGAAGGGAGGGGTGTGTTTGTTTGGGTTGATTTCAAATATCAACAGTGTCTCTCAGAAATCGCTCACTGCACCTTTAAGGACATATTGATTTGGACTTTTTTCCAGGCATTACAATTTACAATCTGTACATTATTTTATGGCTTCCTTTTAAATTTGATTTGGATTTGATTTGCATTGTATGGTAAAAATATACCACATTTTACTGAAAAATAACATATGATTTGATTAAAAATAACTAATAAATAAATAAATGTATATATATAGTTAGATTCCCATTCCACCCACCAGATGGCAGACTGATGCAGTTGCTGTCCCTGCCAAGTTTAAGCAGTCTGCTCTTTTTGAAGTGGCCTTTGCGTTTTTTAACATGTGGTTTCTCTTGATACATCTGATGGATGATGATGTTGAGCTCTCTCTCTACAATGTCGATCTCCCGCTCGGCTAACTCCTGCTCGCGCCTCCTCAGATGCTCCTCTTGCTCCCTCTGCTCCTCAGCGGCCCGTGCCAGAGCTTCCTCCCAGGATCGCAACTCCTAATGAACAGGCAGTTATTTACACCACTAATCCACTACGCCTACAAGTCATTGCTTATCATATCGTGTCATTTCTTTAAGGCGTAGATGATGCGATTTTTCCACGCATTAGGCTAATTTGTATATTGGTTCAGAATACTTGTGTGTAAACATCCATAGGTCTCTTAATCACACAAAATATCTACTGTATCTTTATTAGATCCTAAATGTATCAAATATCAACCTGTAAACGTACACTACCTTTCAAAAGTTTGGGTCCATAAGATTTTTCCCCCCCCACAGTATTACTGTATTTTTGATTAAAAAAAATAAATACATGCAGCCTTGGTGAGCTCTTTAAAAAAATATTTACAAATTAATACTTCTATATATATATATATATAATTTCAACATTGATAATAATAGGAAATATTTCTTGAACACCAATACTTTTGCAATTGTAATTACAAGTTAAACAGTTATTTTAAATTGTAATATTATGCCACAATATTACTTTTTTTATATGTATTTTCAATCAAATAAATGCCTTGATGAACATAAGAGACTTCTTTTTCTTTTTTTTACATTTAAAAAAAATGTATTGACCTTAAACTTTTGAACGGCACTATACTTTTTAAAATAACTATTTTAATTATTTTGAATTTATTTTTTTATTCATTTTAAAAATAATCATTTAAAAACTTGATGCAACTTTTATGTGACCTGGTTTTAACAAATAGTATATTAATATAAATTGTAATATAAATATAATGGTATTGTTTGGTAACTGACAGTAAAAAAAATAAAGCAAAGATTGTACTGTATTATTGTAGATATTTTATTTGAAAGTGAAAAACAAACTTGACAGTACTTTGATGTGACATTTAGTATGTTAATTAATATTATTAAATAAATAATATTAATTATATAGTTAAATGGGTTAATTATGTGGTATGATAGTATTTCTTGTGTCAACAGTGTAAATATAAACTGAAACATGCATTAAAGGGATACTCCACTTGTTTTGGAAATAGGCTCATTTTACAACTCCCCCAGAGTTAAACTGTTGAGTTTTACCGTTTTTGAATCCATTCAGCCGATCTCCGGTTCTGGCGGTACCACTTTTAGCATAGCTTAGCATACATCATTGAAGTGGACAAGACCATTAGCATTTCTCAAAAAAAATTTACCAAAGAGTTTCGATATTTTTCCTATTAATTACAAAATAGGAATTAATTAATTAATTTTCCTGTAGTTACAAAATGTAAAGTTGAGATTTTCTAGGCTGATATGGCTAGGAACTATACTCTCATTCCTGCGTAATAATCAAGAAACTTCACTGCCGTACCATGAGAGCAGCAGGCGTAATGATATGACGCAGCGCCTGAAAATAGGCCACCTTCCGTCAACACAACGGAACTATTTTCAGGCACTGCGTCATATCATTACGCCTGCTGCACTCATGGCACGGCAGTAAAGTTTCTTGATTATTACGCAGGAATGAGAGTATAGTTCCTAGCCATATAATAATAATAATAATTCATTACATTTATATAGCGCTTTTTTAGGCACTCAAAGCGCTTCACATGGAAGGGGGGAATCTCCTCAACCACCACCAATGTGCAGCATCTACTTGGATGATGCGACGGCAGCCATATTGCGCCAGAACGCTCACCACACACCAGCTTACTGGTGGAGAGGAGACAGAGTGATGTAGCCAATCAGTGTATATATATATATATATATGGGGATGATTAGGAGGCCACGATGGACAGAGGCCACTGGGCAAATTTGGCCAGGATGCCGGGGTTACACCCCTACTCTTTCGAAAGACATCCTGGGATTTTTAATGACCACAGAGAGTCAGGACCTCGGTTTAACGTCTCATCTGAAGGACGTATCTTTATATATTTGTGGCTATATCAGCCTAGAAAATCGCAACTTTACATTTTCCGTCGGCCTTAGTGCACAATGTAACTACAGAAGAGTCAAGTTTTAAATAGGAAAAATATCGAAACTCTTTGGTCATTTTTTTTTGTTGAGAAATGCTAATGTCTTGTCCACTTCAATGATGTATGCTAAGCTATGCTAAAAGTGGTACCGCCAGAACCGGAGATCGGCTGAATGGATTTAAAAACGGTAAAACTCAACAGTTTAACTCTGGGGGAGTTGTAAAATGAGCCTATTTCCCAAAAAAGTGGAGTATCCCTTTAAACTATTGCACTAAAAATATTTCAGGAGTCCATCACAAGTTACTGGTAGGCTACTAAATCCCCGAGATGTACCAAACGTGAAACAAATGGTCCATACCTTCTCCTTTGCTCGTAGTTCATCAAACATCTGCTGGATCTCCAGCCTCCAGTCTTCCTGCAGGGAATGGAAAGACTCCAGGGGCATCTGGAACATGGCTGATTGCTCAATGTCCAGCAGTCTCTTCAGGATACTCCCAAAACAAGGACGCCCATGTGGGTTAGGACACCAACACTCTACAGAGAGAGAGAGAGAAAAGTGAGGATGTGATGTAAATAAAAAGGATTCTCAACTCAACTTTTCTGCAGAGTTTAGCTCCAACCTTGATCAAACACACATGCCTTAAAAGTCCCGTTCTTCATGTTTTTTTGAAGCTTTGATTTAGTGCTGTCAAACGATAAAAATATTTAATCACGATTAATCGCATTAATGTCATAGTTAACTCGCGATTAATCGCACATTTTTATCTATTCTAAATGTCTCTTGATTTCTTTTTGTCCCATTATTTTTTCTCATTTTAATGCTCTTATCAACATGGAAAAGTGGATCGGCTTGCTTTGTGCAAATGTTTTTTATTGAAAACAACATTGACAAATATACAAAATACTGTGTTCAATTTCACACTAACATTCTCACTTGGAGCAAATAATCCCTCACACAATGTAACACTGTCCATCAATAAAAGGGTGAAAGAAATCCTGACGAGGTCCTGATATTGACGAGGGGGCGGAGAATTCGCATCAGCTGTGTGTGTGTGTGTGTGTGTGTGCTTGGCCATCATCAAGTGGTATTTCAGACTGGACGTGCTGCGATGATGATAGCTCAGTTCACAACGACAAAACACACAGATCACTTTGGTCTCGTCAATGGAACCATTTGGCAACTTTTTAAAAGTAAACTTTCAATTCAGAATCTTATTGGCATCCATTTCGGCGTCTCGCACTCGTCATCCACTCAAAACGTAACGTTAACCTACTATTTGGCCGGCTCGCAAGCCCAAACAAGTGTGTGCGGGCGTGCCTATTGTTTTGTTTCTGGTCTTGCTAGATCCGCTTGCGCTTTGGTCGACGAAGCAACAAAACGTCCTCGCGCGGCGCAAGCCATTGAAATGAATGGGTTTCATAGCGCAGCGCCGCGCATGCTCCTGTTGCAAAAGCATGTGAAAAAAACTACAAAGTTTGCTAGGCCAAAAAGTTAATCGCGTGCTAAAAATTTTTACGCCGTTAAAATGGGTTTGCGTTAACGCCGTTAATAACGCGTTTAACTGACAGCCCTACTTTGATTGTGTTTACAGTGTGCAATATAACATGTGTTCATGTTTCGCGTGTAAAAAACACAGTATTTTTCACACAATTTACTTATCTGTATACCGCTGTTTTCACTGTCCAAAAAACGGCCCGATGACTTCCTTGTTCTATGAAGTCCCTCCTTCAGAAATACGTAACGAGTTCTGATTGTGCCAGCGGTTCCTGTGTTGTGATTCGACAGCAGCTTATCGCACGTTGCCCGGAAAGGTCACGCCTCTTACCATAAATTGGAGATGCATGCAGCTGAAGTGCTTCTTCTCTGTGGGAGCGCAACAAGACCACGCCCCCTTTTTTGTGTATTCCTGTGGGCGGAGATTAGTCAAAAAACTGTTCTAGTTATGTCATTTAAAAAGGAAGTAGAGGGATGTAGTCCAAACTGGCCGTTCGCTGTAGGCTTTGAAAGGGGACTTCTGTTAAATAAAATATCTCGCTAGGCATTGAACTTTGAGCTTTATAATTTTACAGGTAGTATTTATGCTCTAACAGCAACATTACACACTAATTAAAGTTTGAAAAATGGAATCGCGAAGAACGGGACCTTTAACTTTTTAGCAGAGATGGTCGTATTATTGGGAGATACGAGGGTCTGTGGCTCTACCAGAGGTAAAGTCCAGGGGTCAGAAAGTAAAAGTCCTGCCATATGTTTATTCCTCCCATGAACTGTAATGGGACACCCGGTGTTCACTTCGTCTTCAATTATGTATTCCCAAAACTAACTCTGCATTTGGTCTTGCTTCTTTTCAATCTGCTGCCGCTCGCGACTGGAATGCTCTGCAAAATATTCTCAAACTAGATACACTAATTTCAATTTTAATCTTTTAAAATGATTATATCATCCTTGTTCATGGACACATGCAGTTGCTTTTCTACATAATCATTTTGTGTTGTTTTTTAAATTGTATTTAATGTAATTGTTAACCTGTATTTATTTCTAATGTACTGTATTTATTTTAGCCCCATTTCCTTTCCCTAAGTGGTTATTCCACTTGTCAGGCCGCCATTGTAAATAAGAACTTGTTCTTAATGACTTGCCTGAAAAAAAAAAAAAAAAAAAATCAGCCAGCTGATTTTACAAATTAGTTCTAACTCCTGGCTGAAAAACTGCTAATGAGCAAATCCAGGTGATTGGAACAAAATCCTGAGAAGGACTTTTACTTTCTGAACCTGGACTTTACACCTCTGCTACTATTGGAGACGGCGTAACGGCTAACTTGGATCACGTGTGACTTGATAACCAATCACATTACAGCCTTGACGTCATTGAGTTGTGCGACAGTCAATCACTGTTTGCGGAGACCATAGAAATGAATGAGAAGTGCCGTAAACTGAATCATACCTGTCGCGCAATTGTCCGTGACTTATCTTATGAAACAGCTTCTTTTTTTTTTTCGGTGTAAACTCTAAAAATAGATCAATCCAAAATGATTTTTTTAGAGCAAACATGTTAAAGATTAGCCAATTAGCTGTCGATTCATTAAATAAGAAGCCGTTTTCCCACAAAAGCGGTTTATTCAGCGTAGTGAGGCCTCTCCTCCATTGACATCCATTCAAAACAATGTCCTCGTCTCCTTTTTTTGGCTAACCTTGCCGGCTTGCCTTCATGTGGCTTTGTTTTTATGCCCGGTACACATTGTGTGATTTTGGACTGTCCCAGACGAAAGATAGCCAATCGTGGTGATTTCGGAGGTCATGGCTCCTAAACGCTGGTCCTACATCGTACAGTGAGAGAGCTTCAAATACGGCTGTAGTCACGATCTTGTGACCAAAGATTGCCTGCGATCAGTGTCAGAGATTTATCATGATCATCTCACAGTGTGTTTGCTGCTACGATCTCGTCTACTGACTAGCCAATACAAATGGCGAGACTTGAAAACTTAAAACTACTTTCCTCAAGCTCCATTTGCAAGATTGATGTGCCGAGTTGTCCTCTTTTCCCTCGCCATGATTCGTCCATAGTCTCCTCTTTCACTTCCTCCTCTTTATTTCAGCGCACATAAAAACCACAATTGCCAAAGTGTGATTCTTCTTGCTCTTTGTTCACCACTAGCTCATGCTGATGACGGTTTATTCTTCTATAATAACTAGCGTCGTAGCCCTAGATTCAATAGGTGTCATCATCGTCCAGTCTACATACATGTCGTACCCAAGTTTATCCATGCCATAAAGTGTGATTTGTAATGATCTTATAGGATTGACGAAATCGTACAGTCTGTAGCAGGCATAAGTAATCCTAAAGAGCTTGATGAGCTTGTTCAGGTGTGTTTAATTAGGGTTGGAGCAAAACTCTTCAGGAAAGTGGACCTCGAGGGCCAGAGTTGAGAACTCCTGATGTTCACAGGTACATTTTTCATGGTGTTCAACCAAAACTGTTCTTACCTCCCAGCAGCTGTGCAAAGGCCTCGGGGCAGGTGGAGGGGATGGGAAGGGTCAGCTTGTTCATGGCAACTCCATACGCCACAGCCAAAGCGTCAATTTCACGGTACGGCACCTCACCAGTCAGCAGCTCCCAGAGTAGCACTCCAAAACTAACACGAAAAAGACCATAATCAGCCACAGAACCTCTAGTTAGGCCAGTGGTCTCAAACTCGAGCTATTTTGTGGCCCCCTACTTGACATTAAAGTTTAATGTTAGTGCGGCCCGTCGTTGCGTGTGCCGCGTTTTTTTTATCCCTTATGGGCTACCATAGATAGTCTCGTGACAGCTTACGGTGGGTTTGTTGTCAATAGTTGTCATAGACAACCGCGAAGTACAAACATACTGCGCCTGGAAAAAATGAGCGCGTCGCTTCAATTATGAGAGCGCCTACATTTGAAATAACGAACTTGAGCGCGCAAAATATGTGAACGGCCCCTTGGCGAGCTACCACCAATCAGGCCACGAGCTACTGGTAGCTCACGAGCGATCTGTTGGAGACCCCTGCTCTAAAACAATGTGAGAATAATCATTTTGAGCTTGTAATATGTGTCCAACAGGTTGATAAGAAGGTTTGCTTTGATTTGTGCAAAGTCAGTAATTTGCCTGAGACACTATACATGTGTAGAAAGAATCCAATAAGACGGGCAGACATGACTGCAAATATATGTATTTCAAAAGCAATAATTGTTTTTCTAAGTATAATAAAAGGAAATGTGCCTTCCAAAAAAACATTCAATATCATATTGAAAATAAAAAGGACATGAGCAAATATAAGTATCACAAAGATGTTGTGTATAAGGAAAAGACAAAGAAAGTTTGTAAAATGAACTTCAACTGTCAGAAGGACAGCTCATGAAGAACCAATCATGTACGGAAAGTAATGTTCAAATTCAGAGGAACAGTTCAGAAGAAACGTTAATAATAAATATTGAGAAGATTGGATCAGTTGTGCTCCTTTTTTGGAATACTTGAATACAATTTTTTTTGTGTAATATTAATTGATGCGGCCCAGCCTGACCCAGACTCTACCTCCAGCGGCCCCCAGTTAAGTCGAGTTTGAGACCCCTGATTTAGGCTGTAAAACACAGTCCACAGGAGGACGCCAGCTCACCTCCATACATCGCTGCTTTTTGAGAACAGTGACAGCTTGATGACCTCTGGAGCCATCCAGGCATACGTGCCCGCCGCGCTCATCTTTGTGGTGCGATGCCATTCCCGAGCAAGCCCGAAGTCTGTGATCTTCAGAGTCTTTCCACACAGGTCGTCTCTCTCCACGGGCTCCAGAATCAGAACTGAAATGAAGAGCAGAGACATATGAAGCCGAAGATCCAGTTTTTGCTCACCGTTGAGATGTCTGATTATTGAATAGTGGAAACAATATCAACTTTTGCATGTAATATCCAGTAAGGAGTCTCAGTAACGCTCATCAGAGGTCAAACCAGATCATTCGGAAAGCAGAAGCTTTACACAAGGATGGAAAACAACACCCTTGATTTGCAATTAAGATAAAACTGAAGCGCAAACATATGTAACACACATTTGAGTCATATGAGAATGATGTACACAGTGACACCTCAAGAAAACAAAACAGATCACGTTAGATCTCTATAGACCTTAAGCGGCTGAGAAACAAGCGTGCAGCCATCTATAGAAATCCGTGTTTGAACTTCAGTTTTTGCTGTAGCTCTGTATATTTCTATGGCATCGCTGTCAAGTTATTAGCTGGTGACGTCAAGTGGATTTACTTATTGTTGAGTTAGTAATTAGAGTTGGAGTTATTGTAATGTTTGAAGCGAATGCCATCACAAATGTCAGTAGACCGGGAAGATTTTAAAACGAGCGGTTCATGCATAAATCCGTAAGATCTTACTTTCGTGCTGTGGGAATACAAACCGGAAGACAGAACACAAAAGGGGCGGAGCTACATGAGGTAACAATATTCTCATATTGTTTTGAACTGGCATTACCAACCCATTTTAACTTTAGCATGTGACGTATTTCTGAGTGAAACCACATGTTCAGCGGGAACAAAATATAGGGCGCGATTTGAATATATCCGGTATCAATTGGACCATGAAAAGTGCCAAAAAAATATCCTTCAGTAATCATTATAATATGCTGATTTGCTGCTGAAGAAATATTTCTTATTATTATCAATATTGAACCGTTGTGCTGCTTCATATTTTTGTGGAATCCATATATTAATATTTTTTTTGTAAGTAAAAAAAAAAAGAGCATTTATTTGAAATGGAAATATTTTGTACAATTAAAATTATTCTAGCTGAAAAGTATTAAAAATCATACTGACCCCTTACATTTAAACAGTAGTGTACATAATGAAAATATAGAATAAATGCAATGTATTCCCAGAATGGAATAATGTAATATGAATCGTTCATAATGAGACCAGGAACATTACGAAATTATTAAGAAAGTAATAAATTGAAGTGGGGGAAATAGACGCAGCAAAATGAAGACTTTTGGAGGGAGTTGAGAGCTCTATACTATATCAAATATTTATCAGCCAGTAGCATGTGTGCAGGGAAGAGAAACAAGATCTCTTAAACACACACACAAGCTCTCTCTTTCACGTAACTAAGGTAAAGTGCACACTCATCTAAACACAACACAAGCTTAGTTTTACATCCCAATCCAAGACACATGACAAGCTTTAAACTACACACACATACACTGACTGAACAGACAGGCGCCAGTAAATGGCATGTGGAGCACAATGTCAATATTTCACAGAAGTGGCATTAGAGGAGAGAGACCAATCCTGGCATTGTTATCCATGAATTCAGACCTGTTTACTGAAACTACTAAGACCCACATGCTTAGTTTATTAGAACAAGAATTATATAAGTCAACAGGTACATAAGACAATAACAGATGGGAAACACTGGTCAAAGCCACTGTCACGCCACATTCATCCACATGAGATTATACAGTTGGCATAAAGACTTGAAAGAGTTCGACTTGACTTTCTGTCTATTCCATATTTACAAACATGAGTCACACCGGATGGAGTGGAATAAATAATATATATATATATATATATGGATTTCAGCAGTGGCCTTTAACGCTGCTTATTGCGCTTAAACAGTCAAATACACACAAAATAATGTAAAAATGCCGGTTTTGGCGAGTATTCACGTAAACACAGTAAGTTATGTTTTATGTGAACTTAAACAGTTTAGAAAGAAAAAGCATTTATAATGGATTTGTGCGTCAGGTCTTAAAGTGACAGCAGCCTAATATATCTGCTGCCAAATTATGAGATAATATTAAAAATGTCTTTATGGCAGTTTTTCCCTATGGTATCGATGTCAAAATTGTGGCCAGGAAAAATGCTAAGTGGCAAGTAACTTTGGAGAGCACAAAAAAGGTTAATGCCAAGCCCTGTAAATATATATAGACCACATATATACATTTATATATAAATATGTGATTGTGTATGAGAGAGTGATGCTAGTTTGTGGTGCCCTGCTCTTTCTCTCCTCTGTGTTTCCTCCTGTGTTTCCGTGTGCGGGCAGGCTATGGAAATGTTTGGAGTGTCAATAGTCAGCTGGACTGGTTTGAGTGGGGTGGGGAAGGGTGGAGTGCCGCCTGCTGCTCCATTATCACCACACATATGCAAACGGGAGCAGAGAGAGACAGGAAGGGAACACAGCTGAGTTTCTGTTTGACCAGCACATCACAAGCTCAGGCTGAACAGGTGGAACCTTTCTCTCTTTCCCACCAGAGTGTCACATCCATTAACATGCTCGGGTGTAAGAAAATATCATGAATATTGGGATGTTATGTTTGGCGATACTGTATCATTCTCAAAAAAAACACTGTATCGATATTTATTTGTTTACATCCAAGATTTGTGGAAGTGGCTATGTTTTCAGTTTCAACCTCAACCGCTAAATGGCATTGTTGTTATCTCTGAACATGACATGTGATGAGTTCGAATCCCGTAACAAAAATGACTTTATCTAATTTCACAGACAGGGCTTAGATTAAGCCAGGATTAGGCCTTAGTTTAATTAGGACATTTTAAGTGGCTTTTAAAAACGTGCCTTAGAAAAAAACTAGGGCTGTCAAACGATTAATCGCATCCAAAATAAAAGTTTGTGTTTACATAATATATGTGTGTGTACTGTGTATTAGGGCTGCACGATATTGGTAAAAAAATCACATTGCGATATTTTATTTTTCTGCGATATATATTGCGATATAAAAACAATTTCACCAGATTACTTAAATAGCTCTATTTGGAAAGAATGAATAATTCTAGAATGACTTGGGTGGTTTTGTCATGGAGTAAATCTGCATAGAAACTAATATTAATAGTATGTTAACTAATGTAGTTAACTAGACTTTAATAAATGGAACCTTATTGTAAAGTGTTTCTGATTTATGTCTCTTGAGTTCAGTGTTGGACAGATCAGTTGTTTTAACCATTCATTAAAGTGAATCGGTTCAAATGAGTCATTAGTTCGCGAATCGGACGTTTCATTAACGGACCACATCGCACAAGATTTGTCAACACAGAAAACATTTCATCACTGGATGAAATCCATCACTGAGTCAACTCAACTCAATTCATTAATATGCGCGAGGGAGGGAGAGCGAGAAAGACAGTTTGAAGACGGTGAGAGTGCGCGCGCGCGACCGGGGCTTTCACTCTCTCTGCTCGCTCTCTCAGTTAAACAAGCGCAGCAGTCAGTCTTTACATCAGTCGCCCGGTCAAACTTTGGCGGGACAAAAATACGCTTTAGAGGCTGACAGAAAACAGCGCGCAAGTTCCAGTCTTCTTGCGCTTTATGTTTAAACTGACAGGACTTGCAAATTGATAAACTCTCACACTATGATGGTTGAACTTTGCAATTAATCCACGAATCACAAGCGTTACGGGCCGGAGAGCTGCTGGCACGTTGCCTACTGATCATGAATCACCATCAACCAGGGGCGTAGCAGCCATTATAAAAGTGGGGGGGAGAAAATGGTGTGGTAATGTGACCCAAAGGTCAGTCCTTCCAGAACAATGCGGAGTTTTTTTGTGATTGTTGCGGGCAAAAATCCTTGATTATGAGGCGATGGAATATGCAGGATATTTGCAATTTTATGTGATGAAATTGCGGGAACTTGCAAAAACTGCGGTTTGATGAAAAAGAGAGAAAAAGTGACTCCCCAACACCCTGTTCTCACTAGGCTACTACCTTAATGTAAAGAGCTATTTCTTATTACTTCCTATGATAAGCAAACATACATCACAGAAAGTGCTGGAATATTTAATCTTGTTTTATTTCAGACCTTAATAAACACATGGCTCAAACTTACAAAACAATGAGTCAAACAAGTTCTGTAGCTTTACAAAAGGAATATGCTACAACTTCTGTAAAAATGAATAAAATGAACTGTTTTACAGTTTTTTTTTTCATTGATGTTCATGTCGCGTAATTACGTCACTTCATAACGTTCCCATGGCAACAGGGGGAAACGGCTGCTCTCGTGTGAAGCAAACGCAACATTTTTCAACTTTCTGCTAAGATATATGTGACTTTTTTTGCAACAAAAATGCGGGGATTATGAAATCATACAAGCCCCGCATATTTTGCGTGGAAATCGGCAATTTATACGGCAAAAGTGCGGCGTATTTGAAAAAATGCCCCCGCATAAATATGCGGACTTTGGCTGATTATTGAATCATACGATTGCATAATCGCGTTTTTCTGGAGGGACTGAAAGGTGATGTTCATAATAATAAATTCTAGATGGAATAGCAATTGGCATTTTACAGCACCCTAGTGCCAATTTTGGGAACATGCCATGATAGTTTACAGCAACCTATTTTTGTGAAATCATACTCGAAATAAAAAAAATATTGCAGGACTTGGGACTTTCAGACAACTGTGGACATCTATACTTTATTTTTATGAAATAAAGATATTTTATGATAGGCTATTTACAATATTTCAGTTAAACTACACTTGAACAATAACTTTTATCTTACTAACAGTTGGACCAAAAAAAGTGTTCAATGAGTAGTATACAGATTACATCTAGCCTACAGTAATTTTATACAACAGACATTTTATAAAAATATATCAATAAAACCTAAATCAATGTATTCGGTATTGGACATCAATTTAACATTGACATAAGATGTTGAATTTACATTGAATTTTGGTCACCCGACGTCGCAACCAAAATTTAACCAAATATCAACGTCTTATGACGTTGTGTGCCTGCTGGGAATAATCTGTTATGTCTCATTTAACAGACGCTTTTATCCAAAGCA